TACTTATCACGTGAATTTTTCACATGATCTGGATCCGGATCGAATCCAAAATCACATGATACTACCCGGCTTTAGTGAACCCCCTTTATTGGATAAATATCACGTGTTCTAATATTTACGCTAGTATACGCCACGTGATACATCATCCTATATATATGGGCAATGTTTGTATGAAATTCATTACGCTAGCGTAAAATGCGTAAAATGGCAGATTTAACAGTAGAGTTTCGACGAATCGTTACCAAACTTGACGTATCAACAACAGAAAAACCAAAACGCGCCGATATTTTACCGCCTACAAAAAAGAGTTTTCGCAATATCAATGACCCATTTCTAAAAGAAGCTTACGAAATAGTAAGTAATTTGACCAACGAAATTAATTTAATTATTAATTCAAACCATTATGTGTACTAGTAAGTAAGTTAGTAGAAGCCTTTTGAGTGAATAAATGAAAATACGGTGCTATCGACTTATAATCCACATCATCGTCCTTCTCAAGGCTTCACACATAAATAACTTGAAGGCTTTTCTGCTCTCAATTCGCAAAGTGTATCTGAATTTATCGCGCAACTCTGTAGGCTCTCTTCGAAAAACGACGGGCAACAATGCGATTTCTTCTTTTTCTGATATCGAAAAGAATGTTCTTTCGCCAAATGTAGGAGCATCTATTCAAACACTTACAGATAAAGAACGTGATGATATTGATTTGCATGCAAAAGTCATTATGCAGAAATGTATGGATAGAATCAAAAAATTGGAGGAAGCGGAAGAAGGTGTGGGTGTAAATACTGGTTTGATAAGTTTAATAATATACTGAGAAAAAAGCTTACTATACATATAATATTAATTAACTAATTATTAGCACGACAAAATTCAATTATGAGTAATCCCCTATTGAAGATATTGCCTAATCTTCGTACACCTGAAGAGCATGATATTATCGCTGCACATAGGAGTAGTGTGACGTGGTTTTTAAATATGCAATTAATGCAAGCCTCAAAAATACAGAAAGACTTGCAGGAATCTAGAATTCGCAAAGAGATTGAAAAAAGAGAAAGGTATAATAATTTCTACTGGAGTTCTACAATTTCCCTAAAATAATTTCTTTAATTTATTATGCCAGATCGTTACTTAAACCAACAACAAATAAACCAACGACCCCTCCATTAGTGTTACGAGAGTTTTCAGATGAAAAAGATTCTTCCAAAAATAAAGAAAACAATGTTGATACTAATGTCATTACTTCTGAAGATGATGATATCGAGCAACATTTGTCAGCTGAACAGAAAATGATGCTAGAATTGGAAAACGAGACGATGATGAAAGAATTAGAGTCGACACTTGATCAAGTCAAGCACGTATAATAAAATATATATATCTTCCTCGCTTTTATATTCTTCGTGATTTTACATTAATTACAAATTTCTTTTACTTAGCCAAGCTGAAAAAGCCTTACTCGAAATCTCTAATCTACAATCCGTCTTATCAAGTCACCTTGCGGTACAAACTCAACAAACTGATCGTTTGTACGCAGAGGCGATTGCCACCACTGATAGAGTTCAAGAGGGCAATCTAATGCTTATTAAAGCACGACAACGAGCGCAAGACGCGCGAAAAGGGATCCTGATATTTTTAATATTGGCTAGTTTTATACTATTGTTCTTGGATTGGTATGACTAAATTGCTATGACAAAAGTTTTAAACTGTAGGTTGATAAAATATATTAGTAATTAAAAGAAAGTGATTGTATTTCTATTGTTTTAGTAAACTTTATACAAATATTAATAATCTTATAAATGTAAAAAAGCCTTACTAATTCAAATACATTCTGGTATTAACCATCTCATGTTCGGTATTAATTTTTTAATAAAAATAATGCGATTATTACTAATCAAATGTGAATTTATTTGAATTTCATTTTACAATTTTCATTTCAGATATTAACTGACTCAATAATTTTCCCAACCTACTTCTTGTAATCGCTTATCTTTGGTTTTCACTTCGTCCCCTTGTTTTTTTAGAAATTCTGTCATTTTCTCAGCAAATTCAGGAATGAAAGCACCAAGTTGCCGAACCGCCAGTAATCCAGCATTTTTCGAGTTATTGATCGCAACAGTTGCAACAGGTATACCACCCTAATAAAAAATGGCTTATTTATTTATTATGTTATATAAATACAATTTAAAATTTACACCTGGAAATTCACTTACTGGCATTTGAAGAATACTGTGTACTGAATCAACACCATCCAAAACCTTTCCTTTCACGGGAACCCCAATTACAGGTAATGGCGTGTAAGCGGCAACCATGCCCGGTAAATGAGCTGCACCACCAGCACCAGCTACAATAACTTTTAAACCTCTTTTATGTGCATTTTCTGCGTATTCTTTCATACGATCAGGAGTTCGATGAGCTGATACAATTGAAATTTCGAAAGGTACTTGAAATAATTTCAAAATTACGGCACAATCCTTCATAACCGGTAAATCTGAATCAGAGCCCATTATTATTCCGACAAGAGGTTGTATACTGGAAGGTGGTGCTTCATTTTTATCAATAGCTCGTATTATTGGTGTTATACGTTTATAAAGTTCAGGAATGGAATTTGCGACTACGGTAATATGTCCCATCTTTCTACCTTTTCTACATTCTTTTTTCCCGTAAAGATGAACAGTAGCCCCTGGGATTGTGAGAGCGATTACAGCTGAGCGTAAAGTTTCTTCTAGATCGGATGAGAGCCCAAGAATATTAACCATTGCTGATACAGGTACCTTGAGAGCTGTACTTCCCAAGGGTAAATTCAAAATTGCACGAAGGTGGTTTTCATATTGTGATGTTTCACATGCCTCTATTGTATAATGTCCTGAATTGTGAGGCCTGGGGGCAATCTCATTAACAAATATTTTCCCTAATTAAGACAATTTTTCAATAAAAGAATTTCAAATTATAATAAAAGAATTTCAAATTATAATAAAAGAATAATATTATATATAACCTTCATCCATCAAAAACATTTCCACGCAATAAACTCCGGCTCCTGATAAAGTTTTTATTGCACTCACTGCCACTTTCTTTGCTTCATCTAATACAACACTATCAACTTGCGCAGGTGCAATCACCAGATGACAAATATTATCTTTATGAATTGTCTCAACAATTGGATAACTTTCTAGTTGTTCGTTTATACTTTTAATCACCATTACAGCTAATTCTTTTTTGAATGGAGCCCATTTTTCCGCATATAATGGCATCTTAAAGTTCCCGAGGAACTTTATCGCCTGATCAATATCATTCTCAGATTTAAGAACATAATTCCCGCGACCGTCATAGGCCATTGTTTTTGACTTCAACATCAATGGATAACCAAATTTTTGCGCAGCATCGTAAATGTGCTCCTTTGTTGGTACCTCAATAAAACCAATAACAGGAACATTATATTTTGATAAATGTACTTTTTGAGCGTATTTATCTTGAATTAGACTAATAGATAAAGGTGAAGGGTGAATGGCAATGTTCGTTTCTTTTCTTATTTCTTCTAAGGCATTTGCATTGACATGCTCAATTTCTATGGTTAATATATCAACGGATTTGGCAAGTTCCTTTATTTTTTCGGGATCTTTAAAGTCTCCCGAGATATGAGGATGAGTGGCCTGTATTTGTTTTGCAGGCGCGTCTTCTGGATTATCAAGAATAACAACCCCAATATTTAAGCGGGAAGCAGCCTCAACAAGCATTCGACCTAACTGACCTCCTCCCAATACTCCTATAGTTTTCGTGTCCATATTTTTTTTATTAGAAAGACAAGATCAGTTATAATATTATTTATTGGTTATAGATAATCTAAAATTATATTACAAGTATTATTATTATCGTTATCGTATTATTATTATCGTTATCGTATTATTATTATCGTTATCTTTTATTATTTACAAATTTTAGTAACGGTAACTTCAATTCAACATAAAAATTTCCGAGCGTGATTTAAAACCCGTTTCTTCAAAAAATTCGTTGTCCTGCATAAATTGATTCGCAGGGAAATCAAATTGTCCAGAAGTTCGAACACGCATTTCAGAACGTCTTCGACCAAAGAATAAAGATCCAATACTCTCACTCTCATTCTCATTCGAAGAAACACATGGATGTGATCGCGATGGGATTATTTCATTTAGAAAAAATACATCATCATCGTCATATTCATTTGCTTGGGTAAAAAAACTCCGAAGTGAATTTCTTCGATTTTTTCTATTATCATCGTTATAATTATTACTAAATATGTTATTGGATTGAGATAAATATTGCGCGGCAATAGAGAAAAAGTCTAATGGTTCGGAATTCTCAGTAATATTCGTTTCGGGTTGGTGTGTTGATACAAAGTTAGGTAATTCTAAATGATTACGTGCTGCTTTACCAGGAATAATTTTTGATAATTCAAAATCTTCTTTTAGTTCAGATGATGTATCATCTTGAAGATTTGAAAGAAAAACTGTTCTTACAATATCGGAAAAGAGAACCATATTTTTTGATATATTATCTATTTTATGTGGTTATATATGTATGAGAGATCAAAAAAATATAACGTATTGACGATGACTCGTGGTATCGCGCAATCCAAGAAACTTGGTGCGTTTATTTATAATAGTTTCGAAATAAAGTTTTCGCGTATATTTACACACACACAAAGCTGAAGGTAAATCAATCCCCGATGAAGTTATTAGTTATTCTGAGATCTCTCGCGCGCGGAATGTAGCACTACTTTATTTCCGTCATTCATACAAATTGGTATTATTCTCGCTGACCAAAGTCTTGCTTCTTACCCAAAAAGATGACCATATGAGCGGTCATTTGCACTCATTTGGCACGCAAAGATTCGGTCGTTCGCCCAGTAATACAGACAGATTCTATACAGAGTCTCGATACAACAATCTGTACTCCATTATGCAATTTTAAAAAAAAAATACAAGATATCTGGTATACAAATAAGTTTATGATCGGGTAATGATGGAACACATGCATCAATGTCTTTTTATTTGCATCTTTCTTTAAGCTTTTCATTCGACATGATTGATAACCCCATTAATAATAAAAGTCTAGCAACCCAAATTAGGGTGCGAGTTGAAACATTCAATAATAAAAATTAATCACCCCATGCAGCAACGATACGACCACATTACATATATCTATTGATGCATCGACTAGAAATTACTACTGCACAATGTTTCGACGCAAAGTGGTGGTTGCCTTGGATCCCTCCTCAGAGGAAGCAAATTATACAGTTGATTGGATAATTGAAAACTTTCTTAAGCCAGAGAAAGATGACGTTTACTTGGTTTCAGCTCTGCTTTTGACTTCCGACTTGGAAGCGACTGAACTGGGTGCGAGGCACTTGTGTAAACATTGTATTTGTGATTAATGTAAAAAGGTTTGAGAAATTAGATCAGTTGCTTATGCTTTTTTTATAATAGGAATGAATATCAATTACGCTTCTGAGTATCTTATGAACTGGGAAAAAGAAGTACTGCCAATTTATTCCTCTTTATTGTATATAGTTCGTAACTCTGTTTATTTTACGATTTATTTGACCTTTTGCAGATTGAACAAAAAACACGCGACTCTCTTCAAGAATACGTCAATAAGCTACAGTTGTCTAATGTAAATTTTTATTATTTACAAAAAATATACTTATGTATAATTATATTTATTTATTTATTTCCAATTGAAATAGATCGCTGTATCTTTTGAAATAATAAAATCCAAAAACGATACACCTAATGTTATAGTGGATTACACTGAACAAAAGAAAGCAGATGTACTAATAATGGGAAGTCGGGATTTATCTACTTGGAAGAGGTTTTCTCTCATTCTGTTGATTTATGATTTCCGATGTTAAACAAACTATCAATTTTTGGTCTCACTTTTATCATTGCCATCATCATATTTACATATACAGGTTATTTGTAGGATCATTTTCGGATTATTGCCAGCAACATGCACATTGTCCCGTTTTGATTGTAAAAAGTAGGCGAACTTAGAGTTTTTAGCTTTATAATCAAACTTTTCTATAGGCAAGCAGTAATGTATTTTTGTATTATTTAACGAATGATACGATATAACGAATGATACGATATGATACGATATAACCAATGATACGTATAACCAATGATACGATATAACCAATGATACGATATAACCAATGATACGATATAACCAATGATACGATATAACCAATGATACGATATAACCAA